ATGTAGCTTGACAAGCATCTTTTGAAGAAATACTTTGACAACCATCCTTACCCAAACATGCCAGATTTTGCTGATAAGGTATCTCAAATGTTGCCTAAAAATCTGCAAACATTTGGAAGTTTTAAAGCCTTCTTAAGATTTCGAGTTGCTGATCATGCAGTATAAATTACTGCTGCACATATTGCAATTGTCTGCCTTTTCCTTATTTGATGTTTTTTTAAAGCCTTTTTCTCGCTTCAGTACATTATCTTCAGACGCGGAATTGGACTAGATAAGACAACCGATTACTTTATCATGGAGAAAGTGGACATTATCCTTGCACGTTTCTGGGCATATATTTTACGAGTGACTAAGTAAGTGCGATTCCGAACGTGGTCTGTTATTCACCCTCACTGGAATATGCAATTTTTGGAAGTTATGATTGAAATTTCTAATTGAGAATAGTGAAGTTGTGAACGACTTTAAGTAATTTAAATGAGTCTAAATTTGAAGTATCATCTATTGCATTATTTGTGATTGCCATTACTAGCACTCTTGTTCACATAGCTGACAGAGATTTCAATAGTTAATGGTGTCATTTTCGCAGGGCTGAAATGTTTTTTTCGAAAAGGCCAAGTGTACAATGCGAGAAGGATCCCAAAAAGGATGATGATCTTATCGCTGAACAAGATGAAGCGGACTTGTTTGTTGAACGAATCCGTCTTGAAAAAATGCAACTAAGGTTGACTATCATGCCTTCCCTCTGTTAGCACAATACGACAGAAATTACACTTTTCTTTAATTAAGAAAAACAACTGATTCCACATGAATTCAACATGGATAAGAATAATAACTGGAAACATGTCTTTGATTTCCCTGCAAACATGCCTTTGATTCGATTTGAGTTGAGTTTCTCGTCTCATTCTTATGGTGATTATTGCCACCTTGTGTCCTTCAGTATTCCAAATTTGCTGGGCAAGAACACAATCCAAGAGCCAACTTTTGATAGGATTATCGTTGTTTACAGGTACTTTATTTTTAATGAATTATTGTTGTGCATATTGTTTTTGGGAACAATTTTCTTCAATTTGGGTGATATTCTTGTCACAAGGTTGGGCATTTCATGTTGAGAGTATTAAATTGAATTATTTAAAATGAACGTGTAGTCTCCATCCTCGTTGCTTGATACGACTATAATTCTATCAAACTAAATTATGACTGTTTCAGGCGAGCAAATAGTGGATCCGGAGATCAAGCAGAACGAGGAATATATGTTAAACATTTCAAACATATTCCAATGGCTGATATGGAGATTGTTCTTGTGAGTCTCTTTCTCTGCCTCTGGGTCTTGTGTAGCTAGCCTTCTGTTCATTTTCTTTCATATTTTTCCGGTTGAAGTATGCATAGTCAACTAAACTAATGAGCTAGTGCATGAAACCTTTTGGCTTTTACAGCCTGAGAAGAAGAACCCAGGATTAACGCCAATGGACTGGCTCACGTTCATTGGCTCTGCTGTAGTTGGGCTGGTCAGTTTATTGATAGCAATGAAGTTGTTTGTGTCTTGGTGCACTGGTTGTTGTCAATTTTAAATTTTGTAGAAATGCTTCTTTCTGTACGTACAGGTTGCTGTTGTTACTTCGCTTGAAATGCCTAAAGTTGATCTTTGGGTCATTTTTGCAATTATTTCCACTGTGATTGGTTACTGTGCTAAGACATACTTCAGGTGAAGTCTCTTATTATTATAATACTTTCTGTTTAGATAAGAACATTTTTCTCTGGCAAGTGAACCTGATCGACGATTGTCTCTGTCTCCATTGATCATGACAATATACTAACGGGAGTTTTGTTTCATAATCTGTATGTAGTTTTCAGCAGAACTTGGCTCAATATCAGAACTTGATAACACAGTCCATGTATGAAAAACAACTGGATAGCGGAAGGGGTACTCTTCTTCACTTGTGCGATGATGTGATTCAACAGGAAGTAAGCGAAGCAGCGAGCTTGAGAAACTCTCTCTGTGAATTTTCAATGGACATTAATTAATAGTTTTTATTGATGCAACTAATTGAAAAATGATAGACACACACCTACGTATATGTATACATACATAACATGCATACATACATTATACAAATATATAGAATAGGAGGTCAGTGCCCTCTATCTACTCTAAAGACTGAACAGATAAAAATGAAACTTGATTTGAGATTTTAAATTAGAATTCATGCAGGCTTCAGTTCAGATTCAGGAATGGATTTATGAATCACTGGCAGTCTGGTACTGGTACTCCATTTGAATTTAAATTTTGTATGTGCGTGCAGGTGAAGGAGGTGATCATTTCTTTTTATATATTAATGGAACAAGGGAAAGCTACTTTACTGGTATGCATCCCTCTCTTACATGTCTCTTCCGAGTCCGACTAAACATTTTGTCAGCCTCCGAGTTACTTCTTGTTTTTATTGCGAGGCAAGAAATATAATAAAATATTTGGGACTATTTTTTCTAGGATCTGGATAAGTGGTGTGAAGAACTAATCAAAGAACAGTTTAACGACCACTGTAATTTCGATGTGGACGATGCAGTTCAGAAGTTGGAGAAATTGGGAATTGTTACTCGGGTAAGGCTCCTACCTATGCTATGGCCTCCTCCTCCTCATCATCATCATCAAACATATTCCATTTGAACCCTAATTACCGCTCCTCAACTCTTTTACCATGGTTGCTTAAATAAATATAGGATACCCTTGGACGGTATAACTGCGTTGGGCTGAAACGTGCTAACGAGATCATTGGCACCACCACTGAGGAGGTTGTCCTTAAGGCAAAACAAGATGCCACTGTTACTGCTTGATCAATCTTTATTCTTGATTCTTGTCATGTTGGCAAACTGAACAAGTTACTTGGGCTGCACGCGAGGATGATTCTGCTTTCTCAAAACAGCCCTTGTCCTTCAGTAGGCTACAATCCTAGATCATTGTATTGTCTCTCAGATGAGATGGATGGAAGATTTTTAACTCTCTTTTTTTCTTTTCCTTCTTTGGAATAATTGGTCGTTTGGTAGTAAGTAATTAATAAATACAGCCCTAGATCTATCATCTGTGAAGGATGAGTTGAGTCAATTATTCCGTTCTTTTCCCATCTGGCTGGTTTTGCACGGTTCAATGAGTTTATCAAAACAAAAACAAACAAAAAAAGTCGATGAATTTACTAAACAGTCTATGAAATTGCAATTGACATCACCGAACGCACATAGCAAAGCCTCCAGAGTCAGAGTGTAGTCCGTAGAGAGATTGTTATAGTCTTTACTCTTTAAGAATCCATAGAAAAGAAGAAAGAAAAAATAAAGGCAGAGGCTGACACTTGAGGCAGATGCAATTTAAGTCATTTTTGACGTACAAACAGAAATGAAAACTGATATGATCTGAGCAAATGGGGGTTAGTTAACTTAGGACTCAGGAGGAGGAGTAGACTAGACTAGACATGTGTTGGAGAAGCATCGACCTGGCCCTGTTGACGGTGTTAAAGCAGAGGCATATATGCTCCTCAAGTTCGTTGAGGAGGTGGAGGAAATTGGGGTGGCTCTTGCTCAGCTGTTTGAGCACCTCCTGAATCGGATGCTTGTCGGTGGCAGTTCCAGTGACAGAGCCCCTCTCCAATCCAAGGCGAATCAGAAGCTTGTCTCCCTCCACCGCCGTGTGTAGACGGCGAACAAGGCGGTCAATGGTGGCAAGATCATTGTTGAGGACACAAGTACCCATGGCGGCAGCATCAAGTTGCTTCATATGGGCAACCTCCTTCTTCTCAATGGCAGTCATCATGCTGCTGCTGCTGCAACTGCAACAAGAAGAGCCAGTGCCATTGCCAGTGGCGGTGGGAGTGCAGCACAAAGGCGGCCCTGCAACAACGACGAGGGTGGCAGTGAGGGCATGGACAGTGATGGCGACGGCAGAGATGGCGACTCCGAGGGCAGTGCCAATGAAGCAGAGGGCAGAGGCAAGAGTGGCGCGGCGAAGGAAGCGGATTCTGGAGCGGGAGGAGCGGAGGCGGGCGTCGAGCTGGTGCTTGAGCTGGGAGAAGCAGCGGAGCATGTCGTCGAAATTGTGGGAGTCGGAGTCGTCAGGGGAAGGGAAGGGGTTGTCGTGGCGGTCGAATTGGAGAAAGACTTCCGAGGCCCGACTGCACTGGGATTGGCTGAGGTTGAGGCTCAGACACTCCTCCTCCGACTGTACAACGTCGAGGAGTTGATGGAGAGGCGCATAGAGCTCACGCGCTCGATAGACGTAGCGGTGGAGCATGAGGCATACTTGGGTGGTGTTTTCGCTCTGGTCGAAGTAGTCAGAGACCAGACGGGTGAGGGAGTTGGGCTTGGCTTGGCGAAGCGCCTCTTCCACGCACTGTCGGTTGGGCTGAAGCACTTGCTCCAAAAGAAGCCGCTGCCTCTGCCTCTGCCTCTCATGGTGGTTCTCTTCCTCCGAGTCCCCCTCCACCTCATCATGGTGGTGGTGGTCATGGACCTCATGAATCCTAGACCAAATCTCATTGTAGGACTGGGTTTGGACGGCGAGCCTGTACTCGTTGGTGAGAGTGGCGGAGGGCGAGGCCTCAGAGCTGGTTCCTCCTAAATACCAATTACCAAATTGAATTGATTAAGTACCGATCAATCATACAAAGAAATTATATCAAGAGAAGTGCAGCAAGCGAAGCAATTGCAAAGCCCAGAGCTTGGTTGGTAGTTGGTACCTTGCGATCGGGGAGGTGGGGGAGGATAAGAATGGATATCGGGAGCCGCAGCTGCAGCAGCTGGTGAGATTGAGGTTGTTGACGACGATGATTTCAGAGAGAGACATTGCAGCATATTAGAAATTAGAATGAATCGCGCTTTACTATTGCTCTTCAGGTTGTGTTTCCCAAATTCTAATTGACTGAACCCTGCCCCATTTCAAGTCTTCAGTCTTATATATGATTTTCCTGTCGGTAAAAAAAATAATAATAAACACAAATGTAACTAAAGCCTCAACCCAACCTCCATCCAATTCCAAAGTAATGAATATTAACAACAAATAATGGTTTATTATACAAAAACCCTTGTCAATGTCATCCATTTATATCAAGTAAAAATAATCAAAAAATAATGCCAGCCCTTCTTTATACACTTATCAAACAGCTGAATCTCTTCTTCTCTAATGTTTCAGAAAGGAAAAAAAAAAAAAAAAAAGTAATACAATTTCCCTTTTCCTTTTCAAGAAAAAAAAAAACACGTATTTCACAAATATCACACTCTTTTAACTGTTTGGCTGCACACAATGTCTTATTTTGTCGCTCTAAATAACTGACTTCCTGGGATCACAGTGGAGGGTCCTTCCCCCATGATTGTTGTCAAGCTAATCTCTTTCTCGTGTATTCGATCTAGCTCCATTACCACATGGCTCATGGCTGGTCGCCTCTCACTTGAAGGTTCCAAACATCGCATAATCAAGTGTATGAACCCTTCCATAGCTTCACCTGTGAAGCTATTCCCCAATCTCTCATCGATGATGCACGAAACATTGCTATTATCTTGGATGTTTTGCACCTTCATACAGTACAAAAACATAAACTGACTTAGTTTAACATTTTCACACATCCAACAACAATTCACAAACCCAAAAAGATGCAGCCTTTTTCAAAACTTTACTGATAACGAGTTATTTAAGTAAGGAAAAAAAACACAAACAAACAGTGATATTTTGAAGTTGCAGAAATAAGTAAATAACTTGCATGCATAGGATCATATGACTAGTATACCAGCAACCAACTCGCACCCAAACTTGGTCCTTCACTAATGATCTAGGGAAGAGAAGCCAATATAAGTACATAAACTGCATGCATAGGATCATGTGACTAGGCATTCCAACACTTAAATAGCATTTCACGTAGGCAAGCACATACCCATTCAACCAGGTTCTGGTTTGAGTCGGAAGATGCCAATTCTCCTGCTTCTCGCCCACTTACTAACTCCAGAAGGAATACACCAAAGCTATATATGTCACTTTTCTCCGAAAATCGTCTAAACTCTCTCACCCTGCAAAAGTGAATGGAAATTTGGCTAAAACTGATAACTTTCCTTCACGGGGACTTGAAAGGTTATATAAAACACGGACAACCAAAAGATCAATACCCTTCACCACAACCCCACCTCAACCTTCTCCAAAAGAAAAAGAAAGAAAAGAGAGAGAGAGAGAGAGAGAGAGAGAGAGAGAGAGAGAGAGAGAGACTAATACTCTGGAGCAAGGAAAATCTCATCAGCAGTCACTTGAGAAGATGGGCCTGCAATATCAACTCTTCCAAGGAAATTGCGGATTCCTGCATCTGCAACCTTAGCTAGTAGATCTTCATCTACAAGAACATTGGCTGTTTTAAAATCTTTATGCACCAGACGGGGACTCAAAGAATGAAGATGAGCCAAACCTGCAAACAGAGAAGATCAATGAGTCCTAATAAATAGGAGAGCATTGCTTCCAGACTTCTCACAGCAGAAGCTGGAAATTTAGAACAATTAAAAGTCTTACAGCATCTGGCAAAAGAATTTGAGGGACCAATACTGATATTCGGATATTTTATCTAAAGAGATGAAAACCTGATACCAGGAAAGCCACAAATGCTCACTGATTTTGCAGAGGATCACCTTTAGCTGCCCCTAGAGCTATTGATAGTCGGTTCTTGAATTCTAGCTTTTTACGTGAATGCTGACCAGTGCCTGCAAAGGAAAAATTACATAGCCACATGATCAATTTTAGCATTATAGATGCAGCAATTGCATAAATTTCTAAGGTAACAACAAAATAATGGAAGGGTTTCGTACGAAATACAGTACTGCATGTATAATGAATCGACACGCATATCACATGAAGTTAAAGAAACATTTATATGCTAAGCAGAGATTTATATCACCAGGATAATTTTGTCTCATAAAATAAAAAATGGTAACTGGATAGAGGGTTACCATACAGGTGACTGGAAACACTTCCACTATGAATATACTCGTACACAAGAAACTGTAGATTATTTTCCTGGCAGTAACCCAAGAGAGTAACAATATGCCGATGTTGAATAGCTGAGAGATAGTGTACCTGATATAATAATCAGTTTAGTTAGATCAACCCATGAGACAATGTTCAGTGCAAAAACATAAATAGGAATTCAAAGAGAGAAAATAAACTAAAGCATAACCAGTCCATCAAATTCATCAGGAGAGAAAAGTTGGTAAGGAAGACAAAACACGTTCCAAAACAAAAACTTATTCAGAATTTGCCACCAGAACTTATAAATCCACTTCAAACACTTTATTAACACTTTTTCTTTCACCTGTAAGTGTAGGACCGTGATTATTACCTCATTGATAAATTCCTGACTAGGTGTTCCAGGTCGCCTTTTGATGGCAACAAGCATCCCATCTTGAAGAAAACCCATGTATACCTCCCCAAATTTTCCTTCCCCAATCAAGTTTGTATCACTGAAATTTTTTGTGGCCAGAGACAATTCTTCCATCTGAAAACGCCTTGTTTCTCGCATTGACAACTCAACCCCAGCATGTCTTCCCACTGCAAGTTATCGAAACAGATAATCAAAAGGTTGTTCTTTACACTAAGTTTGTTTCCTTTAGAAAACATACATGATTTAATGGTTACCTTGAACAGATGGATCAGAAGAACCTGTTTCAGAAGTTCTGGATACACTCCTATTGTGAGATAGACAGAACCATATGAGTATGATAGTTATCCCCACCAAAGTCACGGCTCCTGCAGCACCTCCTAATATTGCTGCAAGAGACGCTGACATTTGGTATGGGAACCACTTCAACTATGCGGGGTAATATTATTGTAAAACGAATTACCATACATTGAACCTGGAATACAGAGGATACAAAAAATCAGATCATAATCTAGGGGGAAGATATGCATAGAAAGCAACATTTATATCCATTAGATATCTATTTCTTTTCTAGTTTCTTTCTTGTTTCCTCATTATTGCTCCACCATCAGGTGTCTAAAAAACAAGTTGGGCAGCAAGTTTTAACACCGGGATTGAGAACCTAGGGTGTAAAATTTCTTCGGAAATATTCTGAATGGAATCAAGCAAGGCACAAAGCAGTCTTTTAGAATAAGCAAATTACACCTGAAAGTTTAAAGCAATAAAACCGCAAAGCACCTGACTAATGAGTAAATGGCAGAAATGCAATGAATTTTGAAATCAAAGTTAAAGCCTTTGAAATTAAATAAAATAGCATGCCGACTGATTTAATAGTATCTAAGGTCATAACATTCAAAAGACAATAGAATTGCAGTACACTTGGCAAACTCTGGAAACAATGTATTGGATTGACTGAAAAACATGCATATTAGGATAGGATCTGATTTAAATGAAGATTAATCTAGATAGAAACGGTATTAATGAAATATGATCTGAGTCAACTTCAAACCTGCACTCCCAGAGAAGTAACCCAGCCAGATGTCTAAAAACTCGAGCTTCATTTGCCAATGACAACACGAATGAGCCTCCCAGTACAATTGTTGTCACCCAAATGAAATTTCATCACATTCCCACATGGAAAGTGAAATGGAATACTTTTGTTTGCGGTAAAACCCCAGCAAGGAAATCAAAGTTAGTCAGCCAGAGAGGAAAAGAAACCCAAATAAAAGTAAGGACAACTAAAGAGGAGGATATGCAGGCAGGCATCAAAAGTAAAGAAACCCAGTTATGATCAAGAGTTGCAGTTGATATAAGTATAAAGAAAGAGGCATGAATATGCAGGTCGAAATCAAAATGTAAACAGAATCGAAGCTGAGAAGCATCTATCTCTGGTGTATTTTTTATTAAATTAATGGGAAATGCAGTCTGTTGATCATCGTTGGATACAGACAATGCCGACAGAAAGTGACCTTGCGCCGACAACACTACTACTTCCCCCCTCTACCAAACCACCCAACTCAACTTCATCAATATAAACATATATGTAGTAGACCCACAAGGAAATTAAATAGAAATTAAAGCCCTTTATATTATTTTGATAGTTGAAATAGACAGAGAGAAAACCCCATGCAAGCAAGCAAAGTTGATTTTGAAGCAGGAAGAGAATAAAAATGAAGTACGAACAGAAGAGAGAGAGAGAGAGAGAGAGAGAAAGAGAGAGAATATGTGTGTCTGTCAATCTGCGTGTATTTGTATTTTTATATAATTTTTTAAAAATGAATTTAGTTTCTCTCTTTTATGTGTGGGCTGTAAAGCAGAATAATAGTTGTCTGCTACTGCAAGTTGAGTGTTGAGAGAGAGAGAGAGAGAGAGAGAGAGAGAGAGGGGTTTTCATTTCATTCGGTTTGTGTCGTTTACAGCAGTACAGGGCATCTTGGCTGTAAACAGATTTGCAAATTACAGTGCTGCTGCTGCTGGTGGTGGTAGACTAGTGGTAGTGGCACAACAACAAAAACAACCCACAAGCCAAGCAGCGCATACACAGAAAAGAAAAGACACAAAGACAATAGCGCTTGACTGCAGCAAGAAGTTAGTTAAAAGTTTTGCCCAAATATACGGTCGGTATATATCTTTTCATATAAAAGCATTCAACAAAGAATATGAGAGAGAGAGAGAGAGAGAGAGAGAGAATCAGCTGGGCTGGGGCTTGTCTTGTGGGGTTGCTATCCCGGCCAGCCAGCTATCAGCTATGTTGACATGGCTCCTACTGAACAATTAAGGCCTACACATAACTATTATTAAATCAAATACATACAAACCATAAGTAAAGGTAACCTATACGCCTCTCCTGCCCCTTTCACCTTTCACCTTTTTTTTATTTATAATTATTTTGCTCATGTAAGCTCTTCGGATTCTCATTCATTCCTCTTACCATATCATTAAAATTAGGATGATGATTACTAATAATATTATTTAAGAATTGTTGCAGTTGCGGTGCTTCAGTTTCTTTACATATGAAAAAACAACAAATTTCTCTAATTTTATTTTTCCTTGGCTCTTGTCTTGTCTTCTTGAACAAACAAAAAACAAAAGATCCAATCCAAGAGAAGAAGCTGCAATTGTTTGTTGCATTTTATATAGTACGAGTATGATTGGAGGTTCTTTAATCTCCTCGACTGAAAATGTGACACCAAACAAAATGGCAATGATATTAAATCAATAAATAATGATAATATTGATAATGCAGGAGGGAGGAACCATAGATAGAAGCTTCATCTCTTAATGTCAACGCCTAAAATTATTGCGGTTCAATAATTTGTTAATAGCAAGCTTTGAGTTTGCCCTCGCTCCTTCGTGTTTCTCTTGATGATCTCGCAAGTTAAGCGACGCCACTGGGTTGGGAGCGTCCACAAGTCCCATAAAAATGGCGCATCACATGATCCCATCTGCAGGACATAATTGGCAAACGAAACGAAAGTTGGGGTCGGAAAGAGGCGGCTATGAGCTATCTATCAACTGGAAACACGGGGCGGGAGGGGCGGATGATGGTGTGTGGATATCTAATCTATTATTGACCTCAGACAACACAATCAATCAAGGCCTTGAATTCAATGGTAATGTATACGATTAAACTTGAGATGCCATATATATACAATTTACAAACAAGCTTACCAGTTAGTCTCCGCAATCCTCCTTCTCCAAGCCAAGACAGCCATGACAAAAAATAAAAACATAAATAAACAAACAGAAGATGATAAGCAAAGCATAATTTACAGAGGAAATATGTTTCTGATTCTATTCTACATTTACCAAGCAGCATAATTTACAAAATGTGAATCGCTCATACATAAAATATGACCTCGAAATACAACCTCGCAGTAAAGCATCACTGCATACTATCGGAGCTTAACCCTTGCCTCTTCAAATGCTGCCTTAAATGCATTTCGAGTTACTTCCCTCTGATGACAAAGCTCCATTGCTGCTTCAGCTTTCTGAGCTGCAGACTGCAACCTTTTTTCAGTCTCAATCATGTCCTTAGCTGTCTCGTCCACTCGAGTCTTTAGCTCTGATGTCTCAACCTCACAGAGAGACAGCTGGTTCTCAATTTGAAGCAGCATTTCCTTTACTCGGGAAGCCTCCTTACGAAGGGACTGTAGGCGATGATCAGAGGTCGTAAAAGCACCCACTGTATCACCATGGGTGCGCGAAATATTATCAAACCTATCTACCTCATTGTGGTACACCTTGATGAGCTCTTTGGAAGAGAGGTCATTACGAATGGACCGTTCTACTTCAGCAAGTGATGATGCACATGCAATGAACTTCCTTACACGCTCAGAAAAACGTCTATAGTCAACTGAGAGATGGTCCAAAGCAGCAAAGGTGCACTCCGCTGCACATGTCATGGATTCATGCTGAAGTGGATTCATTGACTCAAGAAGAGTGAGCAGCAGATTCTGAATAGGCAAGGCTGCTTGCTCAAGTGCCCCCACAATTTTCCCTGTTACAACACTATCTTGTAATGGATCCAAAAGATTTTTTATGCCTGAAAGCTCGAAAAGTACACCACTCAAAGGCCGAGCATCATCCTCACTAGACATTTGTCGTGATAAATGGAAATTAGAATGTGAAGGACTATGAGGAAGGTCAACCAACCCTTCCGAATGAGATCCATATGTCTCCTTAGGAACGAAAATAGGATCAAGTGACGGGAAAACACCTATTAGAAATTCGAACTGGAGTCAGAACCTAAGATGACAAGTGGAGAAGAAAAGATAAAAAGAAAAACGGTATGTACAATCATACTTACAACAAAACTTAGGCTTGGATGGAGGTACTGTTAAGCATCCAGAAGGGGAGAAAGCAAGCCGGCCCAACCAACCGAATATCTGAAAATCTAAAATTTGTTGGGTACCATCTTTCCCCCAACCTTATCCGGAAAAAGAAAAATCAGAATGACAATGCAGCAGCAACAGCAGGAAGATAATTTCTACCAAAAGAAAGTCACAGAAGGAGAATGTTAATACTGGACAGCTACTCCAACAAAGAAACATAGAGAAGATACCTCCCGTTAGTGTATCTCCAGCAACAGAACTCTGCCTCCAAAACTCTATCTGTTGATGATGAATTTCAGCCTGCATGGATGTTTTCTGAGAAACATGGGGTGCTTTCTCCATTATAGGATCCAATAAACCTTCCTCCTGCATGACTGGGTCATGGAGATGCTCCCTCACAACAACTTGTAGATTTGAAAAATTTGTTAAGGTTTTCATATTTGAAGTATCATCATGTTCTTCTCTCCGTAACAGAGGTTCTTCAATCTCTGATGGGCCAAAAGGTACAAAATTGACAGCTAAATTGGGTTGAGGGTTGTCAATCTCGGCAGACTCAAACGTCATCCTGTTTGGATGCTCAAAACTTAGTTCATCGTTCTCGTCCAAGTCATAGTTTACAGTCTCAACGACTTCATGACAATTCAAAGAGGGCTTGAGAGATACATCATGTTCACTTTCATCTAGACAAGAAGTGAGTCCGGTATTTGCTTGACCATCATACCATAGGAAGAAAGGGCAAGCGCCATGACCCTGTCCAAGAGTCAGAAATCAATGCACATCCATACATGATAAACACAAAAACCAAGCGGAAGTATGCAAAACTCAAAAACTGAAAAGCTATGCGAGTTAGAACTAGGGAACTAAAGGACAGATAGCAGGTTGCATAGCGCGGGTGAATGAATTTGTTTCAGACCTCCATGCTTACTTTTATCTTAATCCATGGGAGAAAGAGCATTTGGAACCGAACAAGACCGACTTACACAGGTTTGCCAAGAAAATGTACCCAAACAGAGATGCGACCATCATCGGACGCAAGCCCTCAGAAGTTAAATAAACCATGTTAATAATTTCACATTACATTACTGGCAGGCATGAGATTAATAAAGAGATATGTGATGCAGTAAAATAGACACAACAAATGAGTTCAAAAAGGGATGAACAAAGAGAGAGCTTGCTTATAAATTATATTATATGGAAAAGAAAGAAGAATACGATGAGCGACGTAGTAGGAAGGTAAGTAAGTAGGGTATGGTGTATGCATAATAATACCTTTGTGATAGGGCACACAAAGTATAATCGACCGGCATTTGGTTCAGACGTCTCCAGCATCAACCTACAGAGTCCGGCACCGCAAGAACACATGGGGTATTCGGAACGACTGAGACTGAGACTGAGAGGGCGTCCACTGGCTCCTCCACTACCATTCTTGTTCGTCTTCAGTTCATCATACCATTTAAAGAAGCGACATTGGCAGCCCTAAATTTTCAAAATTTCAAATTTAATTGAAGTAACAGAAGAAGAAGAAGAATATAAAAAAGAAATGATCATCATATGGTCAGTAATGAATATAAAAAAGAAGAAGAAGAAATGAGTTGAGAGTCACATTGGGGAGGAGGCGAAGGCAAGCATAATAGATCCTTCCAGGGTTCTTGAGGCTTCGGGAGACCTTAGCAGTGCAAGGTCCGTGGTCGTTGTTGCATTCAATCTCAGGGAGATGGCAGACGTTGGGAAGAGAGGGAGGAGTAATGGCGGTGTTGGGGTAGAGTTGAGGGGCTGCAGATGCGGTGGGTGTATTGAGATTGAACTTGAAGGGGCAATCTCTAACCCAATGACCTTGCTTTTTACAGTGGAAGCATGTTGAGGAGGATGAGGCTGCTTCTGCTTCTGTCTCTATGTCAGTGGCAATGGGATCAATGTGAGGCAAGAAGCGCATTCTTTTGGAGGGGCTGGGGGTACACGGAGGATGGACTGGATCTGGAGGTGGAGAACCAGCAGCAGCAGGGCTTGCGCCGCAAGCAGGAGGAGGAGGAGAAGGAGAAGCCATCATCGTTGATCAGATCACCCTCCGTCGCCGTCGAGTCTCTTCCTTTACTCCTCTTAAAACTAAAAACTAAAACGAAAATAAAATTCAATTCCAAATTTCCTTTGGCTTTTGGAAATTGGACATAAACCTCCCCTCCCAGCTTCCGCCCCAACCCAACCGACATATCAGTCAGTTAAATCGACTAGGTAGTCAAATCAAGTGTGTTATGTCTGCGTGGCAACACTTGCCAAGCACGCTCACAGTAAAAGCGGAACCATCCCATCCAATAATTCACTTCTTTTCTTTTTCACTGT